AACAAAAAAATAAATTGTATTACTGACTTAAAAACAACCGGAAAATACATTATAATATAGACTTTTAAAATCAAAGAAAAAAAATTCGTTTTTTGATAGTTGTTGTGAGTGCAAAATCAGAAAAATGATAAAAAAATATAAAAAATTTGAAAAATCCAAAAGTGCTGGATTCATATTGCTCATTTACCTACTTATGAAATAATAATAAAATAAAGCGAATGTGAAAAAAAAAAATAGAACAGCTGAAATAGAAAAATGTAGATTTACAGTCTTTTATTTTTAACTTCCCGCTAAAAATCTTAGATTTTCAAAAATCGGGAAGTTATTGTTTTCACCCCGTTTTACAAAAATCGAGTTTTCATCAGATCTCGACGTTTGAAGGTCACAGGAAGCTTCCCTGACTATTTTTACGATGATGTCCGTACGTCTGTATGTGTGTGTGTGTGTGTGTGTGTGTGTGTATGTAAACCTCTTGTAACTTTTGAACGACTCGACCGATTTCATCGCGGTTGGCGCCATTCGAAAGGGCTTGCCCAAACTTAGATTTCCTGAAAATTTGAACCGATTCGGACCAGTAAATTTCGAGAAAATGCAAAAAAAGTTGTTTGTTTTTTTATTTTTTTTAAATATCTCCGAATTGGCTGAACCGATCGGTCTCAAAAACTAATCAGCTCTTAACCTTGAAAACCCCCATCGATCGCCACCAAAAACGTTAGAATCGGTTGATGCGTTCGTGAGATATCGTTGTCGAAAAAAATCGAAAAAAGCGTTTTTTTGTAATAACTTCGAAATTCATGGCTCGATCGATTTAAACTTGAAAATTTTTCATGGAGCTTCAAAAACTGCGTCGATTGCCGCCAACCGCGTGAAAATCGGTTCATTCATTCAAAAGTTATTGCCGTTTGAAAATTAAAAAAATTGTGTCTTTAAACTGCTATTAGAGTTTTGAGCTCGAAGAGCTCAAATTGACACAAAAATAATATTTTTGAGATCGAAGAGCTCAAAAACGTAATGTGTAGTTTGAAGCGTTTAAATACAAAATGAGCGGGAAGTTGCAGGGATGGCCTTTAGGGTGAACCGTTTTTCTAATTTTTTTTTATTTTTTTAATTGCAAATAAACGGCATTGAGTTACCCAGCCATTCGCATTCTGTGACCTACAATTCTTTCATGGAATTTAAAAAAAAAAATTGACTCAATCAATGGATCTTTTTGCAAGTTCCAGTATTTTCAGAATTTTTTACATGACGGAGAGGAAAATTTTTAAAACTATTTTGATGTTTTTTTCCGCTTCTTTTGCTCTCAATAAATTTTTGAAAAGTATAGAATTAATCTCCATTAAATTATCTTGACAATAGGATGTAAAATATTTTGATCCCGTGAACTAGCAAGACTTTAATAATCCAAATAGTAGCCGAAATGAGGCGAAAAAAATTTTTCAATCGTAAAGCACTCTTTGATGTTCCACACTATGAATCGTGTAATATAAAGTAATTGTGTTTTATGAATAATTTAACAAATTATACTTTAATTACAAATATAAATACTACGAAGTATTTTCATCTTAAATTAGATTAATACGGCGTATAAAAACAGCAAATGGAAAGATTAAATCAATTAAAAATTGTTTACTCGGCAAATTATTCTCCGAAGTTTAAAGTTCAAATTAAATTATTCTCACAATTTCTATATATAATTTATTACTCTCAGATTTTATTGCGACCATTAATCGTTAAGTGATCTTTCAGCTATTTAAACTGCGCGCAATACAGCAAAATATTAGTAGTCTAAAATTATCGGTAATAATGGAACGTTGGAACGGTAAAGTCGCAATAGTAACTGGAGCAAGTGCTGGTATCGGAGAAACAATTGTTCGATCTTTAGTTTTTCATGGATTGACCGTCCTTGGACTTTCACGTCGTGAAGATCGGCTCCAGAAGTTGTCCCAAGATCTAAAACAGTCAAAAGGAACTTTTTATTACTTACGCTGTGACGTAGAAAATGAAGAAGATATATTAATAGTATATTACACTACAAGGGCAGAAAGTTTGAGATTCCTGCACTGCGCGCCATATGCCCGAGGCGAAGCCGAGGGCATCATGGCACGCAGTTCAGGGCTCTCAAATTTCTGCCCATGTAGTGTATACTAGTTTTCTTACTATGCGGTCGAAAGTACGTTAAAAATTGCGTTGAAAAAAATTGATGCCTGCCCCCGACATTTGCGGCACGAGCGAAGCGAGTGCTGCTGGTCGGGGGGGCAGGCATCAAATACACCTGTCAATAAAGATATTAATATATAATCTATCATATTACTACTTTCTTTTAAGAAAAGATCGTAATTTAACTGAATAAATTTAACGTTATAAATATATCATAAATTAACTCTGATTTTAAGAATAAAAAAAAAAATTGCCTGTCACTACAGTTGGGAGTTTTTTCTTTACTAATTAGTGTTATTTTATTAATAAAACAATAATTACCGTCTGTGATTTTTTTCCTTAAAACACAGTAGAATATGGCTACGATGAAATCTTCAAGCAGCCATTAAATAAAGGCCAGACTCGGAGACGGCAAACTTTGTAGAGGGAAGCACTTGATTATTTTACTATTATACTGAAGTTAGCTGATAGCTGTCAATTTTTTTAATTTTTATACAAATTATAATGAAAAAAAAGCTTATAAAAATTTCTATTAAAAAATTATTTATAAAAAATTGCTTTTTTAATTTTTTAAAATTTCTACATTTCAATTTTTTTTCTAATTTTTTTTTTTTGCACTAATTTATTTTTTTTTTAATTCTAAAATTTATTAAATATCTGCTATTTTAATTTTCATTAAAATAAATATTTATTTTCTGTAATTAACTCAGTTTCAACCTCAAATCATTGACACATAACAAGACAGATACATTCATAACAATCACAAGTAAGGTTAGGCTTGTAAACATAAGTAATAGAGTGAGCGCGACTACCGACTTTCGGACTTTCTGCCGCCTCGTGTCTCGTTGTCAGTGCATGAATACATTTTTTCGGCTCCCCGTCGTAAAGCGCATGCGCGACTCGACCACGGCATAAATGTCAGGCTTTCTGCAGTGAAATCGCAACAGAAACCCCGTACTTTCGACCAGCGTAGTAAGAAAAATAGTATACACTACATGGGCAGAAAGTTGAAATTCCTGCACTGCGCGCCATGTGCCCGAGGCGAAGCCGAGGGCATCATGGCACGCAGTTCAGGGCTCTCAAATTTCTGCCCTTGTAGTGTAATATACTATTGCATTTGTTAACGATAAATTTGGCGGTGTTGACGTTCTGGTAAATAATGCTGGAATTGTCAGAGAAGGCTTCTTCGAACGTAAGTACTGTAACTATTGTATTATAAATTTATAATTTATTACACACATGCCTTATAATTTTTTAGTTCAATTTTTATTTTTGTTCTTCAATAGGCGTTAAAACAGAGGATCTTCGTGCTGTATTAAACGTAAATGTTCATGCGCCCGCTATTTTCATGCGGGAAGCTCTAAAAATAATGCGTCAACACAAAAATGAGACTCATATTATTAACATTAATCGGTAATTAACGATTTTATTATTGATTCCTATGAATATACAATATCTGATGTTTAATTTAATAATTTTTTATTTTTAGCATGTTCGGCATTAATGGAACAACAACACTGCCGGTTAATATTTATCCAGCGAGCAAATTTGCATTGCGAGGCATGACCGATACCTTTAAAGGAGAACTAGAATTTTCTAAAGTTACTTCAATTCGAGTTACTGTAAGATTTTACTGTCGTTAATATATATTAATATTTTTCTTTAATTTAATTCTTCGGGGCTCATTCTCAATTAGTTATATACAAAAATTGAATTTTTATTTTTAAACTTAATATCTCAGATTTAATTCTCTAGTAAGGAGACGATTCTGCAATGATGCGTCACCTATCGAAAATTTTCAATACTATTTTTGATAAAACAATTATATGTCGGTATGTCAGGCTATATTTGAGCAGATCAAAAATTATATATTGACTAGCGGACCCGACAGACGTTGTCGTGTACACACGTCTTAAATTTAGAAAGGAGAATGAGCTTGTATAATTAAAAACATCATTAGTTAACAATATGCAATGGGCACTCCTCAATAATTAACATTTTCGTAAATATAAGCTCATTCTGACAATATACTCATCGAGACCTTTGATTTGAGTACCCACATGAATTTTTTTATATATCTCTTTTAGTTTTTTAGTTTCATGAAGAATCTTCAAGTTTGAATTGATAAAACTAGAAAATTTGGAGTAATTCCAAAAAAACACGTTTTTTGGTGTTTTTTCGTTCATGATATTTCAAACGAATATTTTAAACGAATTGACCAATTTTGACCGGCTTGACGGCGGTCGACGTAATTTTTTCATGCTAATAGCTGATTAGTTTTTTAACAAAAATTAATGTGTGTTATTAATATTCTAAAATGAATAATTAACTATTCTCAATATTACCCACAATACTCCATGGTATTTTTTTTTTATTTTTTAAAAACACAAACTCTAACTATAGATCGTAAACTCCCCTTTGTTTGTAAAAAAAACTCGAATATTATGATATGAAATTTATTTGTGAAAAGCATAAATCCTCCGCCGATCGAAAGTTATAATTATTTAAGTTAGTATGCACCGGAAAGAGTTGAATGTAAATAAAAAATATCATTAAATATTAACTCTATTGCGGGAAAATAGGGGTTTTGGATACGTAAATAAAATCATTTATTATTAACGGAAACATTCGCGAGTGGCGAGTAGAAATATATAAATTGTGTTGATGAAAATAATCTTCAGCCGTAAACTCTGCTGTTAGTCGATAGGAACAAACCGTAATAAATTTTAAGTTTTGTACGTGCAATGTCTTTAAGTGCAATTGAAAAAAGTGACTATGAAAAGAAAAAACCGATATAGAATAAGTGTTAAAATGAGTCCATTTTAACATCGCTTTTTTTACAGTGTATCGTCACTGGCTATTGATACTGTTAAAAATTATAACGATTTGGAAAGTGTAACATATGATGTGGGATTCCTGTTTCCGTTGATGGGAATAATGCTGAAAACATTGTTAATTAATATTGACCAACAAGGTATTCTTGAAATGATCGAAGATGTTCATAACCCAATTAAGAAATTATGTTACAGTTCCGGTAAGAAAAATTTATGTTATGTTGCGCTATTGATTCCAAAGGAAAGTATACAAATTTTTTTTTCTTTTCGATAGTTAAGCTGAAAAATTGATTACAGATCGAAATAAACTATTCATACTTTTTATTTTTATTAATTTTATTTTTAAAAAGGCATCCCTTATTATTTGTTAATCAGTAATTGAAAAAAAAAGTGTGTGCGTGTAACCTTTGCGCGCGATTGAAGTGAAACTTCTTTGGCGTTGACGGCATATATCGAGGGTACTCTGACGTAACCTCGTAACTCGATTTTTTGGGGTTTTGAGATAAAATCAGAATAATGATCAGAATATATTTTTTTATAATTGTGTTAAATTAAAAAAAAAAATTTCACTCATTTATTATTTATTTAAAAAAAAAAGAATCTCGTATCTCAGGCACTAAATGTCAAAAACACGGAAGAAAAAAAATCTGAGTTACTCCCTAGTCGCGCCTAAAGAAGTTTTACTTCAATAATCTTCTAAATTGGAAAAAAAAGTTTCTATACATCGTTTTTAAATCGGTAACGCGACGCATATGTGAACAGTAATAATATATATCCGTGAATGTATAATAAACACTGAATTTATTTCAGAACTTGGAATGCTTATAGAAATAAAGATAACGATATTTTGGCAATTTTTGGATTATATTATATTTGCATTAGTTTTGGGATCTACTACAGTAACAATAACCATAATGGCAATGGTTTCAGAGACTAAATTACCACTGAGGGGATACTTTCCATTCGATGCCACACAAAGTCCATTATACGAAATGATGTATTTCATACAAGTTTGGGATATATTCATAAATTCCACGTGGGTTCTTTTTCTCGAAACGTCAATTATCGAGTTGATACGATGGAATAATGTGCAATTAATCGTATTACAAAATAATTATGAAAATTGTACAAATTGGAGGATGCCTCGTGCTCATTTTGAAATAAGTGATGATACCTATGAAACTATTATAAAGTTTCAATTTTTCAAAGTAACTGAGGAAGAACAGAAAATACATTTATTTATGCCTTTCGATGAGAGCGAGGTTAATATCCAAAATGATTCATTTGCACTGAGATTTAAAACCTGTTTGAAACATCATCGGCAAATAGTTGACAATGTCAATAAATTCAATGACTATTTCAGCGTCGTACAATTTTTTACAGTATTCATTACTTGTTCGTTTGCCTGTTTATATCTTTTCCAAATAGCTGTGGTAAATATTAAAAATATCTAAAAAACTAAAAATAATTTTAAGGTTTTTATAAAGTAGTTTACTATAATTATTTTTTTTTTACAGAACAAACAATCAACTGTCGTTGTTTTAAATACTGCTATTTTGATGTTAGCTGAATTATGTCATCTAGGTTTTTGGTGTGTTTTTTTAAATTTCATATTGGACGAAGTATTTACTCTAACTATTGTTATTATTACTACTACAAATTATTATATTACGGATAATAATTGTTTGTATTTTATGACAGACGGAAAAAACTCATCAAAGTCAATATAACTCGGGTTGGGAGAGTGAAGGTAATATAGAAGTGCAAAATCTTCTTATAAATTCATTGATTGGGAGTAAAGAGCCATTGAAAATAACAGCAGGAAAATTTTTCGTAATGTCTCTGGCAACTTACTTAGCAGTAAGAATCATATTATATTATATTTAACATTTAATATCTATACAGAAAAAAAAATTAGGAAAACGGTTGACCCTGAAGGCCATCCCTGCAACTTCCCGTCAATTCTATACCTAAAGCTCGAAGAGCTCAAAAATAAAATAAGTGAAATGTTGAGCGTTTAGGTATGGAGTTAGCGGGAAGTTGCCGGGATGGCCTTTAGGGTCAACTGTTTTCCTAATTTTTTTCTGTGTACAATGTACGAATAAAAATGATTACGTCAAAAACCGCAATTGTTTCTATAAATTAAGTAGTTAACATAAAATATGTTTTGTTCTCAGGTGATTCAGAAGTCCTACTCATACTTTGCTATACTTAATACGGTGCACAGTGGTTAATCTGTAGAACTCGATATTATTTAAAAATCAAATGATTAATTAAGTTAAGTAAACGATTAATGGAAATCTACGTATTCACTATCCACATATACTTAACACTAAATAATGATTTTAAATTACTTCTGTCAGTACTCATTGTATCAGAATGTTTTTTTTTTTTCTTTAGTATTAAGAGCAATATTACAATATTAACAATATTAAATAGAATGTTATATTAATTTAAACGATATTTTTGTCCAAAAAAACCTTGCTACGTGCTTTTGAAGTGTCTTTAATCGAAAATTCCACAAGTGATGAGTATCTAATTAAAAGAATACTAATTTTACAGTATTCAAGAATATAAATCACTTAAATAAATATATCCAAGATTATAATTAATTACGTGGTACACGATACGATGTTCCTGTCATTGTCTGCAGGAAGAAAAAAAGAAGATACATGACCTTTCGGAAGAAGCATCGGTACCTAGAACAGTTAAGTCGCAAGTTTAATTCCATTTCAAGGTTACGCTGATAAAAGGATTTAATTCTATTTAATAAGATTTGGTAACAGATACTAAATGATTTAGTTAAAAACCTTTCGTTACCAAATATTTAGTAATAGATACTAAATCATTTATTAAAGCCCATTTAGTTCCACCAAATAAATATTTAGTAGTATTTAACAAATGATTTATTGGTACTCAATAAATCGTTTAATGGTATCAAAGAAATTAATTTTAGCGTGTAACCTAACTTTTTAACTTGAAATAAATAAAAATAATTAGAATAAATAATTTTAAGTAAAAATATAAGGTATTATAAAGAAAAGAATCCCGTTAAATTATATTTTTTTGTTTGAGGCATTTATAAAATTTAAAATTAAACAAGTTTTAAACATATCAATAATATACAAATTAAAAAATGTAAACTAAACTCCACTGAGAAAAGACATAAAAAGTTTGGAAAATCCAAAAGTGCACGCCTCATAATCTCATTTTTTAAAATAAAATTGATTAAAATAAAATATAAAAAGCAAAATAATAAAAAACAGAAAACACTGCTATGGTTTAGTGGCGCCATAACTGCAAGGTGAGGAAAAAAAATACTATAATAAAATGTATAGATAGAAATAACAAAAAAATCCACAGTCATATATTAATTTTTTATAAATAATAATTTAACGACAGTGAATTGAACGCTCATATTTAACTAAGAAATTCTGTCGTGTGTTACTTTAGATAATTAAAAAAAAATTATTCCAGTACGATCATTTTTTCGACCAATTTCCCTGCCACATACACCCATTCATACACGGACGTCCAAAAAAGATTATGTTTAATGTTATTATTTATTATGTTAAACAAAAAAATTGTTATTGAAATATATTTTATGTGCCTGAAAAATTATTTGACTTGACATAAGTGTACTCATTTTAACCTGTAAGTGCGATATAAATAACAAAAAATCAATTTCAGTTTCGAGAAAACTGCTTTTTTCGAAATGTCGAGAGTAGAGCACAACCTCAACGCTTCGCTTATGAGGCGTGCAATAGAAGACATTTATTGGGAGTGTGTGTGGGTGTTTTCAAAGGTTTAATAAATCTCCTAAAATCAAACTGAATAAAATAATCTGAGTTAGTGTATAGGTTATGTATCACATAAACATTGGAATTAAAGCATAGCCATCTACCGACAATACTTGCCAAAGAAATATTTAGTACCTGTTACTAAATAATATTTGGTGGAACTAAATATTTATTTCCATGTAATAAGGCTTTGTTCATAAAAAGAAATCATTTATTAACCTGTAACAAATGTTATTGATGAGTACAAAATATTTGTTTCTTCCAAATAAATATAATAAATATAAATTTTGTTACTAAATCAGTTTAGTACTCCGTATTAAATCCTTTTATCAGTGTATTATTATTAAAAATGTGGAAATGACTGTAATTTTTTATTTGTTTTGTACAAATTCGATTTATTAAAAAAAAAAATAAATTTTGTTATCGTTAAGAACATACATTTTAGAAAAAATCACCTTGATAATAAAATAAATTTTTTCAACTCGATGTTCAGACAATCTTAGCATGCACATGTTGATACTCGCGTTTCATTAGACAATATGAGAGAACATACTCGCTTTAAGTTAGTCTCCCCTTTATTAATTTTTCACAAAACTCGTCAACAAATTAGTCAAAGATAAAAATAATTTCTTCGACTAAACAAACACCGTGAAATATAATAGTATAAATGTCAATAATACAAAAAAAAGAAAGATATCGTGGCCTCTTAATCTGGAAAAAATAGCAACTTGTACGGGTTTATTTTTTAAAAAAAAATTATTTACCTTTACTACACCCTAGCTTCTGTCTGCCAAGTGTACATAATAGTAATTTCATATCGATTGATTAATATCCGAGTAAACTAACATGTAATTTTCCGAGTAAAGCCGAATGTACAGAACATATTTGATAAAGTTTTTTTCTTGCTTATAATAAATTACCCTATAATTTATTGTCCATACAGTATTTTTCGTGGTAAAGTAAATTATTTTATAACTAAAAATAAAAATACATGTCGCGCTGAGAGATCACTTAACTTATAGTTTCTTAGCTAAAGAATATGAAAGTTGTGCCCATAGAACACCGCAATGGAGTTAAATTAAAAATATTCGGATTGAGGTAAAAATCATATAATTATTTTTTGCGAGTTTATGGATTTTTTAACTAAAATTTTTTTTAAAATTACTCTTTTTGGTAACATTTAATATATAACAGTGATATTTTTCAAATATTTACCGATGTAATCATTGCTATTGATGTAGATTTTTTAATCGGAATGTTCGTAAGAACAATATTTATTTGCATTAACACGGTTAAAAATTCCAATTACATTTTTTTCTGTAGTTCTTACATAAGCGCCTATACTACTGTACACTGTACACAAAATTTTTTTAACGCAATGATAAAAAAATTTTAACTGTGTAATTTCACATAATTTATTCATGCTATTATTTTAATATTTAACATCAAGTTTATTTCTTGTGAAAATATACTATTTATTAAAAAAAAAAAAATGAAAAAAGATTATTAGGCATATGGAGTCTCAATCACTCGTCACCAGGTTTAAAATTGAGTTACTACTGCTACAAACATTTATCATTTGTAATGATCCTCATATTTGGCTCCACACTGACGGCCGACCTTATAATAAATTACAATGACTTATCAGTGTTAACCGATGATGGCTGCTACATTGCCGGGATATTGGTAATAATATTCAAACTATACAAATTTAACAGCGTCCACGAAAGAATAAAATTACTCGTCGATGAGATCCACAGACCTATGGATACCCTCAGCCGATCACCAGGTGAGCTTTAATGATAAATATCCATTAAAATAAATCAAAGGTATTACACAGAAGAAAAGGATTATTTGTCTCAAATAAATCAATTTATTTGAGTCGTTTTGCATGCCTTAAGCGCGAAGCGCCCAAATATGCTCTACTCTCGCCTAAAAATCGTGATTTCGATTAAAACGTGATTTTCATAATTTAAACGAAAAAAATTCTGGATATTTTTAGAACTTTCGTTTTTAGAACTAAAAATCCAAATTTTAAAAAATTATTTTTTAGAATTAATTTATTTGTTAAATAAAATTAAAAATTGGTCAAGTGACAGCTAACTTTAATGTTACAATTAATTTTAAAAGTTCATTATTGTCGTCAACTATGATTTATTTACCACAAATAAACCATATCTTTACCATGAATAAACTATTTATTTTACGCAACTAAATCGCTTAAATATATTATATATTTATCTGAAATAAATATTTATTTGGCCATATCCAAATATCTTATATATTTGGCATAAATAAATCTTATTTCTATCAAATATTTCATTTTTTCTGTGTATACTTATTATCAAAATAAACTAAAATGAAATTTTACCCTTCAGATCTCGAAGCAAGGAAATTAATAAAAAGAACAGCTTTTTTGGAAAACTCAATGGACAAATTTTTCATTGTCCTCGGGTGTTTTCTGGCCGCAGCTCTAACTTTTTTTGTACCCAAACAAGATGGCGCGCTGCCTATCCGCGCTGTGTTCCCCTTTGACACTACGGTGGCGCCCATGCATGAGCTGGCGTTTGCAGTTCAAGCTTTCAGTATTTTTTACGGCTTGTTGACAATCGTTTTTATGGATGAACTTATCATCACGCTTATCATGTGGATTAATTGTCAGCTGGTGATACTGAGAAGAAATTATGAGACTTGCGGTAGGAATATTGATAGATCAGAGAATGAGGATAAGTTATTGAATTATACCTTCGTGATGTTTGATGAGACCGATCCTTCGAAACTTGAAGGGAATTTTGTCGATAAATTCAAGTACTGCATTAATCAACATCAGCGGTTGATTACAGTCGTCGATCATCTAAATGAAATTTTCAGCTCGAGTATGTTAATGCAGCTTTTTGCTAGTTTTTCTATGATTTGCTTGACGGGATTTCAAGCTGTACTGGTGAGTACAGAATAATGAAATTTAAAAACAGCTTTTGAAAAATCGGTCTATTTGTTAGGGTGCTAATGAAAAGGAACATATTTTCAAATTTATTATTTATCTTGGTGCTGCGTTTTCTCAATTACTTAACTGGTGTTGGTTTGGTAATGAACTTCTCCATAAGGTAACGCAGAAAAAAATCCTATAAAAATTATTAAATAATCTGTTAAAATTATAGTTCTATAAATATATTTTTTACAATTTTTCTAATAAAAAAATGCCTGGGACAGCAAAAAACATCCTTACAGAGAATCACCCATATGAAGAAAATGTTAAATTTACAAGGAAGAAAATATTAATTTAGCAATAATTTTGTGGTTTTACATTCAAAAAATTTACTATTTGAATCTGTATAAAGTTTAATAGTGCCAAAACTCTTATAATAACATAAAATTTTTTTTCCCGGGTATGTTATTTTTACAGATCCATTTCTGTGAATTTAACAGCGTTCTATTGGAAATATGACATAAAATTACCGTGTAATTTTTTACATAACCATTTCTATAATTTTCACAACTAAAAAAATTTTCACAGAATTAAAAGAAAAATTTTGAAATGAATAACGATTTATTGTTGTTTATCTATTATCAGAGTGCTTCCTTAACATATGGTCAGTGGTCATCCGGATGGGAAAACCATATAAATAAAAGTTTAAAACCATTGATGATAATTTCACTTATGAGAACACAAAAAATTTTGCAACTTCAAGCTGGAAACTTCTACAATATGTCTTTACATACATTTACAGCGGTAAAAAAAATCAATAGCATAATAAATAATATATTATAAATTTTCTTTATGGATAATTTTATTTTTAGGTTTTGAAGAATTCGTACTCTTTTTTTGCGTTACTTACTAAAGTGACTGAAAATTGATAAGTAAATTTGAAAATTTTGTTTTTCAGTTGAGAAAATTATTTTTAATACGAAGTAGTTTGTAATTATAAATAAAATTTATTATTAATATTTAATTACTCAAATTATTTTTATTTTATAAGTTTATATCAAGTAGAATAAACTTCAATCGAAACAATTATTTAGTTGATTTTATTATTAGATTCAAACTTTTTTTTTTAACAATTCAAATTTTAAGTTTTCCAAGAAAGAACTTGAAATGTAATTGTCCACAAATTTACACTTAAAAAGTATTATTTAAGTATTTTTATTAAAACTTTATTATCAATTCGTTTAAGTATGAATTTTTTTTATTAAATTAAAATAATATAATTCAATTAATATTTTCACTCTGTTTACTAACGTTCAAATTTTCAGATTTTATTTTTCGCCTTTAAACTGGCTATAAAAAAATTAAAGCCATTATTTCGAAGTTAATAAAATACAGTGCTCGTACATAACACATAAGAAAAAAATCAATCATACAATATATTTTCGCACCCAACTTCCCCTTTTGTAAGTAAAAAAAAAACTTAACCCCCGCAGATTTAACCCTTAATTTTCTTATAGCTGTTATAATGAATAACCGATGCAAAATTCATCGGAAAAAGTGCGGTAATTATAGAGCTTACATTATAATGTAAGAAAATTGTTTTAAAAATAAATTTTCAGCGATATAACTAAATTGCTGGCTTGTGGATTTTTTGCAGTATGTTATCAAGTTCTTGAAGCAGTACCGTCAATGAAATAAAACAAACTTTACTTCAAAAATGAAACTTCGATCTATATACTCACGTCGAACCGTCCTAAGCATGGCGATAGCCGGACTTAGGTCAAGTCTTAGGACACACCAGACTGTGTGTTGTTTTTTATTTTTAAAATAATTTTAACAATTTATTTAAGCACATTGTTGTTGAAAATCAACGTAATTAATTTTGAGATCTTGTAGGTTGTGCGGTATTTGGAGCCTCGATTCGTCGACGCCGGTCAGTCTGAAGCTCCTCCACAATATTTCGAATATTTTGGGCATTATTGCACTGGCTATTTTTGTGGGAACATTAACCGCAGATCTGATGGGTAATTTAAATGATCTTTTAATCGCTACCGACGATGGATGCTACCTCGCTGGAATATCTGTTATTATTTTCAAAGTGTATAAATTTCATCGCCAGCACAAAAGAATTAAAAACTTGACGGACGCAACGTATCGCCCGATTAATGAATTCAAAAAATCTAAAGGTAAGGTAAAATTTTTTTTTAATTGCTAATTTATTTTCTACTTACAATTCAAAATAAAAAATTGCACTTTTGGATTTTCCAAACTTTTTTTCAGATTCTGGAGTGAAAGAAATTTTAGAGACTAACAAATTTTACGAAGATCTTGGGTTTACTTTTTTTGTGACACTCGGAGGATTTTTGGTTATCGCGTTGATATTTTTCGTCCCAACTGAAGATGGTGCGTTGCCAATACGGGCTCTTTACCCGTTTAACACGACAGTGTCCCCGATGCACGAATTGGCGTTCACCCTGCAGATTTATGCGGTAAGCTACGGTCTAATGGCCATTTTGATGATGGACACAGTCGGCTTGGGAATAATGAGATGGCTCCATGTCCAATGCATAATTCTTGCCGCGAATTATAAAAATTGCCGGCTGGATAATCAATCCACTTACCTTAAATGTCAGGAAAATTCTGACGTAATTCGGACATTTTCCACATTTGATGAACAAGATAAAGAAATTACAGGAAGTACCGATTGTTTTGTCGCGAGATTTAGAAGGTGCATAAAGAATCACCAGCGACTCTTGTATACAATTGACGAACTTAACGCCTGCTTTAGCAGCAGTATGTTGATGCAGCTGTTTGCAAGTTTCTCGATGATTTGCTTGACTGGTTTTCAAGCCGTGTTGGTGAGTAACATTCATTGGATTTTATTTTCTAAGGTAATTAATTTAAATATAATTGATTATGATTTAATAATCAAAGGGCGCAACCACAAAGACAAGTTTAATGAAGTTTGTTCTCTACTTGGGCGCAGCATTTTCTCAGCTACTCTACTGGTGCTGGTTCGGCAATGAATTACTGTACGAGGTATACTGATTAAGAAAATTTAGTTAATTAAAAAAAAAAAAATAATTAGAAAAACGGTAGACCCTGAACGCCATCCGTTCAACTTCCCGCTAATTTCATACCTAGGTGCTTAAAATTGCACTAATGATGTTTTTGAGCTCTCTGAGTATACTATACTTAGTCTCTTGACTATACTATACTCAATTGTCGCAAAGCTTGCTGAGCGTCGGTAAAACAGTCCACAGTTTGTTTTTTTTTTTTATTTGATCATTTGAAAATTAAAAAGCCGTTCAACTCGTATTAAAATAAAAACTATTCGTAGAAAAATTTGAACGAACTTTAAAATTGAACTGTGAATAAAATTAATTTCTTCATAATTAACTTATTATTAAAACTTTTTTTTAATCAATAAATAAAAATCTTGAATCAAATTGAATGAAAAAAAATTTTTCTGGTTTATTGAACAGGAAAAAAAATTTTTAATAATAATTTTCTTGGTTTAAAATTTTTCGCCCGAATCAATTTTATTTTTTTATCATTGCACTTAATTAACTTTTCGCCAGTTGCGCCAGTGTTGCTCAATCTTTATTATTATTAATTGTTAAAAAATTTGAATGAAATTAATACAATACAAGTTTTAATTTATCTGAAAATTTTGGATTAGAAATAAAACAAATAAAATTTTATAAAAGTATAAGAAAAACGTCTTAATGTTAATAGAGATAAAAGGTTAATAATCTTGAAAAATTACCGTCGCTTGTTAATGATAAAATAATAAAGTTATTAGAGTTACACAGAGGATGACATTATTATCAAGTCAATGGATGTCAGGCTGGGAAAATGAACTTGGTTCAAATATTCAGCCGCTGTTGATCGTGTCAATGATACAGACAATGCGACCATTAGAACTACACGCAGGTCCGTTTTTCACGATGTCCATGGAAACGTTTATATCCGTACGTTTTTGCTTATATATATTGGTCTATTATTTATTGGGCTTCAAATGTATTTATTTTAAAATTTACACAGATTATCAAAAGCTCCTACTCGTTCTTTGCCTTACTGACCACGATGACTGACTGAAGAAGCGCCATCTTACTTGTTGTCATTATTATTAATGTTGTAGTTTATTAAAATAGCTTTTAGAAATATGTTGTTATAAATAAATTTAACTTAAAATTTTTTAACAATAATACTATAATAATCATATTATTTAAGCAAAAGGTAAATAATTATCAAATTGCACAGGCCGTATACTTTGACAATCACTTTAAGGTAGTATCTCCACGAAAAGCATATTTAAAAAAACTTATGGAATTTTTTTTATCAAAAGATAAATACATTAATAATTCACCACCAAAATTTCAGATCAATTGAATCAATTCATCGCACCGTTTTTGAGTAATTAATTTTCCAAATTGCATCTTTTACACGTAGAGGTATAGAGAGATGGTAAAGTTAGTATGAAATCTTCCGTACTTTTTAAGGTTGGTATGAAATCTTCCGGAAAATTAATTACTCAAAAATAGCGCGGTGAATTGATCTCAAATTTTGATGGTGAATTAATTATTAATATATTTATTTTTCGATAAAAAAAAATTTCATAAATTTCTTGAAATATGCTTTTCGTGGAGATACTACCTTAACTTAACCAAGTATCAGTTTTTAGAAACTCAGAAAAAAATTTTGTTTGGGTGAAGAAAATTTTTTGCAGTTTTAATTAGAAACTGAAATTTTTTCAGGTCGAAAAAATAATTATTGTTATCTTGACTTAAAATTATTTTTTACTGAGCAAAATATAATTTTATTGTTATTCAGGTTCTGCAAAGGGCATATTCTTTCTTTGCGATTCCGAATACGATGATGAATTAAATCGATGCTACACGGTATAAAAAAAGTCATGTAATCTGAGACATTTTTTCCTTCACTGCCCTAAATATATAATATACTATATCTTTTAAATAAATTTTACAAAACTCTAACAAAAACATTAAAATATTTTCAGGCTGTGGGTAGAGCACGATTTTGAATACTGCCAAATGTTAAGAAATTTTGAAGTTATGTTGAATAAACATGTTATGTTGAAAAAGTTTAATTAATTTTTATTTATCTTTACCTGATAGCTTAATACAGAATAATTTTCTCAGGTTATTAATTTCAATGTACAAATGAAAAAAAAAAAAAAAGTATAATAAATTAATATAAATTCTTCAAAATTTTTGTTTTGTTTCAAAATATTTACATCTCTTAATTAAAAAAAAAAAAAGCATTATATTAAATTTTAATGAATAAATCATAATTCTTGGATTATTGTAGAGAAAACTTTTTTCTCGATTATTGCTATGAAGATATAAAAATCAATCACTGCAACAATCTTGTGAATTTGTCATAAAAATAAGTACTTTGTTCATTCTGTGTAAAAAATTACTTAATTCAATAATGGAAAAGTTCAATAAAACCTTAAAGGTAATATTTTGGCTAAAAAAAAATATCAGGAAACACTGCACGCAATACCGCTATGTATTATCGATTTATACAAGGATGCATAAGATAATTAGGTTTTATTCAAAGTTTTATTTTTAACCGGCACCTCACAGTCTACTACTGATGAAAAAAACTTCCGTGATGACACAAGATACCGCTTATTATGTATTCATAGACAGCGCTTCATTCGAAGCAATCATTATGAATATTGGAAAGAGCAAAAAATACGCTCGTAGATCTTAGAAAAAATAAATAACATTTTCTGAGAATATTAAAAGGTAGCAAATTACTACCTTCTAGTAAGCTACATTTTATTTTACCGCCGTACTAGCCTCTTCGCGAATCTAAAAATAAAGTACACTAGTCATGAAGAGCACTCCAATAGAAACACATCGCACATTTTTGGACAAAAGTATCAAAGTACTACGGTAAAAAATGTATTCTCACCTAAATTAGTAATTAAAAAAATTCAATATTTTTTTTTTTAATCAAACAATTAGATATTGCGGTGTTTTGACGTTCGACTCAGCAGCGCCCAAGTATCAAAAATTTTACAACTCGACAATAAGGATTTTTAATTATATTGTTATTGTTTTTTATTTTTTTACCCTTGTTACCGATGCTGTTGTTAATTACAAGGATTTGATGACAGTTGCCGATGATGGTTGTTTCATTGCTGGCTGGATAGTTACTTACTTTAAGATATACAAATTTTATACTCATCGGCACAAAATTGGAAAACTCATCGATGACATCCATGATCCAGTTGATGCACTTCGACAATCTTGTGGTAATTAAAAGTGACACTTCGTACAGTCATCATCATCATCGTCGTGGACAAAGCTCTAAAAAAGTGACTTTAATCCAGTGAAGCGTGAAATTTTAATTATTAGTCTTACTAAATATTTATATAAAAGTTTAGCATTTATTCTAAAATTTCAATTACATGTCATTAGAATTTAACCACATGGGCGGTTAAAAACTTTCATATTTTTTATATCTTCATATATATTTTATGATCATTAAATTTTTTAATATTGTTACTAATTTTGGTCAATTATAAATAATAATAAAACTATTTAATTAAGAATTTAATAAGTAGGATTTTTGACTGTTGTTCAATAAAAATTGTTCGATGGCTGAGAATTTAATTTTTTCAATTTGTTAAATAATTTCTATTTAAATCTTTGTTTTCTAAGTTATAAAAAAATCGTCTAATTAAATTAAATAACAACATATTCGAAACTTTTCGCCAGTTTTACAGTGTATGATTATTCACAAAATTTAATCATCATAATTAAAAATAATTACATATCATCAAGATTTTCTCAAAATTTCATATTTGTTAGATAACATCTTCATTGTTCATGTCTTAAATTAATTTTTTTTTTTTTTAGTTTCCAATAATCTTCATGAAATATTGCAAGCATTTTTTACAATTCAGACTCAATGTATTATTAATTATAATTATAGTAAGATTACAATGAAAATTACTTTCAGATTTAGGTGTATTAACAACAATGAAGACCTACATGTTTTTTGACGCACTAGACTTTTACTTATTTTCAAATTGTGCTGTCACGTTGGGAGCCGCTTTGGTAATACTAGTGCCCCGAGAAAAAGGTAAATTACCGGTACGTGCAATATTCCCCTTCGATATTACAAAATCACCCATGTACGAATTAGCATTATTCATACAGTTATACACACTTATATTCGGTCTTATCAGTGTCGCTATGGAAGAATTTATAAGTTTAGGATTTTTGCGATGGACCACTCTGCAGCTCAAAGTTCTCTCTGCCAATTACAGAAACTGCGAGAGTTATTCGTCAAAGCTTTCAGATCTTTATCTATCACAAGACACCTACAAAGCGATCCAAAAATTTAAAATACTAGACGCGTTGGATGAGGACACGGAGATAACCACTTTCGTTGAATTTGACAGAAGAAAATTTGGAAAAATAATTGACTCGTTCAAATGGAGGTTCAAATCTTGCGTTAAACATCATCAGAGGATAACCCATATCATTGATGATCTAAATGACGTTTTTGACTCGTGCTTAATTGTCCAGTTTGCGGTCAGTTTGTTCCTCATTTGTCTAAACGGATTTTTGATCGTAATGGTACGCTTCGATTTTTTTTTAAATTATAAACTCTTGCATAAAATTTAAATTCATTTTGGATTGACTAAAATTTTCTTTTCTAGTGCGCTGACGACAGGAAAAAACTTATAAGTGCTTTCACGTATTTGGCTGTTGGATTTTTGCAATTGCTTTATTGGTGCGGATTTGGGAACGAGCTTTCTTTTCAAGTAAATAAAAATGTTTGCATTTTACTTTTAAAGAATGTCATTACATATCCTATTCTGGTAACAATTTACTGCGGTATAACAGATTTCTGTGAAAGGAAGTTTTGTAAGAATCTTAAGTAGTCAATGCGTCGCAATCTTATATTAGTGTGGTCAATTGATATTTAAACTATTAAAAAAATTTTTTGAATTTTCCTAAGATTTTGGGTAATGCAGTCAACAGTAGTAAATATACTTTGAAATTTCAATGCAAATAGTGAATGAAAATTAAAATCCATGCATGATTCAATATTTTTAGGCAGACATATTTGAACTTTTAAATCTTAGAAGTTTTCATAAATGTTTGTAAATTTTATGGTTTTACAAAATTTTGTATTGACACTAAAAAAATTTAATTAATTTCATGTTTTATAAAATTGAATAAAAATTCAAAAATTTCAAAGAAATCAGTGCTTAACCCTTTAATGTTCTGGAGTCGCAAAGAATCTCGGTGTGAGCTGTTAGAGGAGAGAGCCAATCATAATATCCGTTAAGCGGTTGTGTGAGAGACATCTCTCACCTTATAATATTCTTATATTCAATAGTAGTTTTTTTTTTTTTTTTAGGCGAACTCTTTAACAACTAGTCAATGGATGTCGGGCTGGGAAAATTGGTTCGAAATAGGTATGAAAGATCTTGTGACAACTGCAATGATTAGAACAATGCAGCCATTGGAAATGAGAGCTGGTGGAATTTTTGTCTTGTCAATGGACACATTCATCAATGTAAGTGATTTTTTTTTCAAAAAAAAAAAGCTACTATTTCACTTGAATTTGAAAAAATAATAACAGTAATTAGAAAATTTTTAATACCTTAGTTTGTTATAAACTTAAAGCCCACGGAAAATATTTCATAAAAGTGAGATAAAATTATGTTTAAAAAAAAATTTTTTTTTTTTTTAGATTCTGAAAAGCTCGTACTCGGTGTTTGTTCTGATGACCACAGTTACAAGCGATGAAAAATAGTTTTTTATAGTTTTACAACGGAGATCAATTTTTTCACGTACGACATGTTGTATGGAAAAATTATCGCATAGTACATCCTATACTGTTTAAAACGAATAAAATATTTGATTATAAATTGTTAAGCTTTCTGCATTTATTTGTATTGATATAAATTAAAAATTACGTTAGTTATTTTCGATACTTGTACCTGAAATATATTAGAAGTATTGTTTGTAATAACAAGGTATACTTTAGCCCCGAGAAATATTACTCTGGAGTTATACTTTTAAAGATGGAATTACAAAAAATATTCATTTTATTTTTATAATATCAATTATTCTGACTGTATACTGTATAATAACGGAAATTTTATCGTCATATTTACAATCCATTTTTTAACAAATTTGGTTGACGTAAATCATATTTACATAATAAATAAAATTCAAACTATTTCTATCCAAAGCTCACCGGTCATAAAAAATTGTTAATTTCCATTTTTAAATCAATTAATGAGAAAATAAATCACTTGAACAAATTAATAATACACTTTAAATATGTCAAAAATTAATAAACTCTAAAACTCCGTGGAAAAATTATCGATATAACCAATTCTCACTCATTGCAATGAATGGTTTAATAAAACTAAATAGATATACAAAATTTATTGTATACTTATATACAACATAACTACTTTGCAAGAAGACTAAATCCATTCAATAAGTAAATTTTGTTCGCTGTCTTACAATAAAAAAAATTAATATACAATTTCTAAGAACTAGTCCGTGTCTATAAATTTCACGCATCGCAGTTCCTTATTTAATATTCACAATAGTGTATTATTATCTCAATATCGATTTTCTTAACAATTATAGTAGAGTTTCTAGAGACAAAATATAAAACACTTTTTTCCCTAAAAATAGTCTATCGCACTATAATTTGTGAAAATTACCCCCAATTATATCAGCAGAAGTCTTTTTTACTTGTTCTCACCCGTTGTTGATGGGTTGAAAATAACAGACCTGTAATGGAAAAAAGTTTTATTAAAACACATCGCACACACTGGAATACCGTTTTTAGAATTGTCAGGTAATTTTTTTTTTTGCGATGTTTATAAGAAAGCTTGTCGCACAACTTTTACTCTCTTACAGATTTATCGGCGTTTGGACTTACGAAAAATCTTCCCCAGTGTATTTACACTTGTTTAATTCATCGATAAGGATATTCAGTGCGTCAATCGTGACAATATATTTTGGCACAATACTTGCGGATTTGATTGTTAATTACAAAAATTTGAATGTTTTATCCGACGATGGATGTTTTCTGTGTGGCGTATACGTCATATTATTCAAAGCTTTCAAGTACCATCGATTTCAGAATAAAATAAACAGACTTTATGACGAAATTCATGAACCGATCGATCTGTTTCGGCATTCTTGTGGTAAGTTTTAGATTTAATAATTGATGAAATTAGTGAATAAACGTGTTTTGTTGAAGTTTTTCGAATTTTGTTTTTTTTTTTTTTGCGTAGCCAAAAATTTTTTTAGTATTTTAATTCGGATGAGAACTTAATTTTTAAATTGTTTTAAGTGATTTGTCTTCGAGACTTTGTGTTTTAAGTTTAGAAGAAAAAATAATGTACATACGCCCTTTTGGATTAAAAAAAAAGATATAACTAATAGGGCGTGTATAAACAAATTTTTATTTTTATTTTTAAAGATACTGCTTAAAGAATTGAACGTTTTAAACTTCCGGCTATCAAAGTTAAAAATTTTTGAAAATTCTAAAAATTATTAAATTCTTATAAAAAAAGTTTTTTTCGTCTTTTTTTTCTCACTTCCAAATTTTTATGCCTTACAGAAAGTTGTGAATTGAAAATTGCAGCTTAATAATGTATGTTTAGTTATAATTAATTTTTTTGGCTAGCCGGTTGGAATACAGCTTGAATATTATACTATACTCAATTGTTTCACCGGCTGACCACCGATAATACAGTTTTTAATTGATTCTTTTTTCATAACTCACAGATTAAAACAAAAGAGGGCGTTCAATTCGTATAAAAAAATCCTTTTTGCAGAAAAATTTAAACGAGCTTTAAAATTGAATTGTTAATACAAATAATTTATTTACAATTAACTTGTTGTTAAAATTATTTTTAACTTCCCGCTAAAAATCTCAGATTTTCAAAAATCGGGAAGTTATTGTTTTCACCCCGTTTTACAAAAATCGAGTTTTCATCAATCTCGACGTTTGAAGGTCACAGGAAGCTTCCCTGACTATTTTTACGATGATGTCCGTACGTCTGTATGTATGAAAGGTCGCTCATAATTTTTTTTATTTTTCGTTAATTAGTCATATCGCCGACTTTAAGTGTTGGGAGTGGTACGTTGGGGTCTTTTTGGTTTGAAAAAATCTTAACTTACGCGGCAAGGTCAAATCTCAACCAAGCTGGTTTCTAAGACCAGCTTGGGATTCAAACTCACGCCTGGCAGTTGATTAAATAAAATTATTAAATTAAAAAAAAATTATATTTTCTATGTTGTGCTTGATTTTTAGTTCATCTCGTGATGTATTCTTATCGGTTATTGTACTAAATAAAAAAAAAAAATTAATGCGTGGAATTTTAAATTTTCAGAAACTTATTTTTTTTTTCAATTTTACTCTTGTCATGTTCAGTAGATAATAATTTTTTTTTTCTATTGAAAACTTGTTATATATACAAACTTTACATTGATCAATAAACACAAGACACAAGCGCTTAAGGCGTGCACATTTTAATTTACTAACTTTTATAAATTTATTTTTTATTAATCCTGAATTTTATTAATAAATTGAATACGAGTTATTCTCCGAATTTTTTACAGCATTTATAAATTACAGACCCGGGAGTATTGATAACAATAAAAAAAGCAATGCTTCTGGAGAACCTCGACTTCTACATGTTTTCCTCATTCGCCATGACCCTCGGACTGTCAACAACATTTTTTGTGCCTCGTAAAAAAGGGGAATTGCCAGTTCGCGCATTGTTTCCGTTCGACACAAAAACGTCACCAATGCACGAAGTTGCCTTTTTTATTCAAATATATTCGATAGCCTTCGCACTGACAAACGTCGTCACGCTTGAATTCATAGGACTTGGGTTCATTCGTTGGACTACGGTGCAACTAGTCATCCTTACTTGGAACTACAAAAATTGCCGAACTGACGTCTGGAAACGCGATACCTTCGATCCTCTGCCGGACACGATCAAAATGATCAACAATTTCGGGATCACCAAATTGAATGACCAGCCTGTAATAAGAAAATTTGTACCGCTTGACACAAATGCGGATGGTTCACAGGATTGCTACTTGTGGCGGTTTCAAATTTGCATAAAACATCATCAGAAGCTCACGTGGATTGTCAAAGAATTGAACAGCGTGTTTAGTTCAAGCATGATGACGCAACTTGCAACCAGTGCGACTATGATTTGCTTGGCTGGTTTTCAGGCAGTGTTGGTAAGTTTTTTCGATTCAATTTCATCGCGGTTGACGCCATTCGAAAGATCTTGAGTGAACTTAGATTTTGAATACAATTTGGACCGATTCGGACCGGTAGATTTTGAGAAATCTAAAAAAAACTACGAAAAAAAATTATTTCAAATGTGGTTTTTTTGGAATAACTTTTAAACGGCTCCACCGATCAATTACAAAAACTAATCGGCTCTTAACATCAAAAAACCACGTCGATCGCCGCCAAGCTGGTCAAAATCGGTTGATTCGTTCGTGAGTTATCGTTAACGAAAAAAAAAGTGTTTTTTTCGAATTACACCGAAATTTCCGGTCTGATCAATTTGTGTTTTAAAGTATATCATAGAATTTGAAAAACTGCGTCGAATGCCGCCAACCGCGTGAAAATCGGTTCATTCATTCAAAAAGTTATTGCAGTTTGAAAATTCAAAAAATAGTGTTTTATTAAAGTTCTATCAGACTTTTGAGCTCGGTAATAAGTGAAATTTTGAGCGCTCAAGTATGAAATTAGCGGGAAGTTGCAGGGGTGGCCTTTAGGGTCAACCGTTTTCCTAATTTTTTTATTTCAGATCAGAGGGAGAGATCAATCACACCCCACCAGTGAGGTCCATTTTTTTGTCTTAATTTTCATATTTGTGTAGTTGATAAGTAATAGAATAAGTTTAGAAAAAATTTGAAAGCATTAGTCATTACCTTCATATAGAAATAAAATTTTAAAAATAGCTTAAATTTTAGGCTGCTAGACTACCGGGTCCTGTCAAAAAAATAAAGTTTTTCGATGTTGTGATATAAGAAAAAAAATTTATGAATACTTTTTCTAATAATTCTAGGGCTCGAATGATAAATCAAGTTTTATGAAATTCACCGTATACCTGGGGGCTACATTCACCCAATTATTGTACTGGTGTTGGTTTAGTAATCAACTTCTTTCTCAAGTAATTTTACGTGCAATCAAATTTCAAAGAAAAAATAATTTTTTATAAGTATCTAAAGAAAAAAATTATTTATGTATTGATAGGCGATTTCACTGACGACCGGCATATGGATGTCGGGTTGGGAGCACCAATTTCCATTGAATGTCAGAAATTTACTCACCATTTCCATGCTAAGAACATTGAAGCCACTGCAGATGAAAGCTGGTAACTTCTTTACTCTGTCGTTAGAGACGTTTGTATCGGTAAGATATTTGCATACTTCTAAATATAATCTTGCGAAAATCTTACAGAATTAATTTTTTTTTTTAATTAGATTTTGAAGAGCTCATACTCTTTTTTTGCACTATTATCATCGACAACTCAGCAAAATTTACCGCAGATTGAATAGAAGATATTTTAACAAATAGTAATGTCATTGTTTATTTTAAATAGTGTATATAGAAGGAAAAAATATTACATTTCATTGTTGAACATTGAAAAAATAAAAATTAAAAAAGAAATTTTTTAATTGTTAGAAGATTTGAATAAAAATATTGAAAAAAATTTTTTAATTTCGCTGAAATTTTTCTATCATAAAATGTGTAAAGAAATCTTAAAAATTGATATAGGGAAAGGTGGGGCGCAACGGCCCACTCAAGCTGGTTATTTTTTTTTTTGTGGTTTCTAACCATTAAATTTGTTTATTTTACGTCTATTTCGAATAAATCAGTCAAAATTTTGCAGAACATCGAAAAAAAAAATCTGGAAAACGGTTGACCCTAAAGGCCATACCTGCAACTTCCCGCTAATTTCATATCTAAGCGCCTAAAATTGCACTTATGACATTTGTGAGCTCTTTTAGCTCAAAAGTCTGCTAGGATTTTAATAAAACACTATTTTTTGAATTTTCAAACTACATTAACTTTTGAATGAATAAATCTAATTTTTTTCTATATAATTATTAAAATGTCACTTTTGAATAATAAATATAAATTAACAGTAGCGTAGAATTACTATTTGTGGCCATTTATTGTATAAATAAACGATAGAAATGAATTTATACTAATAAACCATTACAAACTGGATTTATTTTAATATGAATTTTTTAAAAGTCAACAAAAATATGGTTATGATATAATAATTTTTTATAAATTAGGGGAGGGGGGGGGGCAAAATGGGGTAGGGGTGGCAAAATGGGGTACCCCCAAAATTTCGTAAAAAAAATTTTTTTTTCAAAAAAGCTTTTTCTCCTCTCCGTGCGGAAAGCGTCAATTTTCCGCTCGCTGCGCTAAACGAAAATGCCGCTTTCCGCCTCCGTCGAGGAGAAAAATAGTATTCTCACCACGGGCAGGAAATAAGAAAGCCTCAGATCACATGTTTGTCGACCTCGGCTTCGCCTCGGTCAACAATTACATGTAATCTGAGACATTTCTTATTTTCCTGCCCCAGGTAAGAAAAATACTATTCCTTTTCGCTCAAGAAAATAATTAGGAAAAAAAATATATTCTTAGCTCAAGTGAACCTTTTTTTCTGTGTGAGTTTAATCACAGTTTTATAAATTTGATATTGAAAAAGAACATTCGATAATTCTTTTATTTTTAAGAAAACAGTTTGTGAAGAATTTATAAAAAATCTGGAAAACGATTGACTCTTAAGGCCATCCCTGCAACTTCCCGCTAATTCCATATCTAAGCGCTTAAAAAGCGCTCTTTGAACTCAAAAAAATAATTTGTATGTTATTTCAAGCTCTCTGAGATCATAGAGTTAGCTGTTTTAAGCCGACAAGCTTAAAAATCTGATAAAAGTTTAATAAAAGAGTATTTTTTGAATTTTCAAACTGCAATAATTTCTGAATGAATGAACGGATTTTTACGTAGTTTGCAGTAATCCACGCAGATTTTCAGAATCTATGATATAATTTTTAACATAAACTGATCGAACCGAAAATCTTAGAGAAATTTGAAAAATTCACTTTTTCCGAATTTTTTCGACAACGATATCTAATGAACTAATTAACCGATTTTCACGTTCTTGGTGGCGATCGACGTAGTTTTTTGGGCTCTAATAATTATTTTATTTCATCAAAAACGATCCAAAGAAAAATGTCGAAGTTATGTGAAAAAACACTTTTTTCGAAATTTTTCATTTTCGATAACTCTTGAACGACTCAACTGATTTTGACGGGACTGGTAGCAATCGACGTGGTTTTTCAAACTTAAGAGCGGATTAGTTTTTGGAATTGATCGGTAGAGCCGTTTAGAAGTTATTCCGAAAAAAACGATTTTTTTAAAATTTTATTTTTGAGATTTCTCAAAATCTAGCGAACCGAATTAATTCAAATTTTTACGAAATTTAATGGCAATGATACTC